AACTGGGAGCTGTTTATTTTTTTCTCTCTAATGGACCAGTAAACCAGTGGTTGACTCCAGACAGGAGGGGGGGTGACGGGGAGGGGAGATTTAACGATTTAAAAATGCCTGAGAATTAGATATGAATATAAATTAAAAATGTTTTTTTACCAAAAATAACTTTGCCTTGGCTAAAGTAGCTAAATAGATATATATATATATCTATATATATAGATAGATATAAATATATAGATATATAAAAAGATATATAAAACATGACAAATGTGCATAGACAGAGTAGATACTGTAGATAAAAATAGATTAAAAAGATAATCTCTATGTTACTAAAGTTAATAGTTACTAAACTGATTAAAATACATAAAAAATAACTGATTTTACCTGTAATGTTGTATAAATATATATAATATACTTAACACAGCATACCAAAAAAATTGGAAAAAAAGCTATATATATATATATTTGTCAACAGAATGTATACTTAACACAGCATACCAAAAAAATGTGAAAAGCTAATATTTGTCAAAAGAACATTTATATATTTTTATTATTATACCATGACTATCCTTCATTTATCTTCTTTTTGTTGTTATTTTTTACTTTTATTGTTCAAGGTTGTTTTTTTTCTCCCACTCTGTTGCTCAGGTGTTGGTCATGTGACCTCATCAGTTAATGACACTGTTGCTCAGGTGTTGGTCATGTGACCTCATCAGCTAATGAGTCCACAGTATTTAAACACCTGTCTCCTGTGTGTGACTTTTTTTTTTCTTCACCTTGTTTGTCCTGGTTTGAACTGAATGTCACTGTTGTCAAAGTCATGTCTAATCTGGCCAGGGTTTGTTTGTTTGTTTGTTTGTTTGTCTCCATCAGAGTGCTCAGTTTGTCCTCTGTCCTTTAGCTGCGGCTCTAATTGTTGCCCTTTCCCCTGAATCTGTCTGAAAGTCACGGCTTGTGTTTTTAAATTCCCCCCTTTGCGACTCATTCATTTCAGTCCATCACAGCTGACAGAGTCCATTTACGACATGCCCGCCGTGTCTCCCTTCATTAGGGAACCCTGTTAGTTTCGACCAGGCTGTTTTGTTTGTGCACACATTTGCATTTGTAAATTGTCCCTCCGTGGTGCAGAGATTACCGGGAGAAAATAAACCTGATTCCAGACCAAATTTGCAGCAAACACTGAAGCAGCACCGGGGGGAGTTTAACTCCTTCATGTCCGTCTTCACTTCACAGCGTATATAAACGCTAACAACGTTAATACCGCACGTGGAGTCGGACGGTGCTCGGTTTTATTGCTAGCATCCATTTCCACAGCTGAGTGCACGGACGTCAATTAACATTTTTATGTTTTGGCTCACGGCTGCGTGCCGTATTTCCATACACGCCGCCTGTAATCTGAGTTTTCATCTGCGTGATGAAGTCGGAGCGGCGACGTAAGACGAGTCGGACCGTCGTGCAGTCACATTAACATTCACTCGAGGTTCCGTCCTCTGTTGATCGTCTCTCTCTTTCGTGCGGAGATGGGATTTGAATGCAACAGTGTTGTTTTATTGCCGAGGCTCCTCTGAGCCAATGGGGTGACGTTTCATCGACACAGTGGTGCAGTGGAAAAACAATCAGACCCCGAGAGTGGGTCATCAGGGGGACATCCGTCTGGACTTAACTTGGGTCTGGACACCTGTCGCAGTAATGAGACAGAGGGAGAGAGAGAGAGAGAGAGCATGAAGGTTAATGCTGTTGAGTGGAAGTCGTGGAGCGACGTCCCGGTCAGGTCCCGACCTGCAGTTTGAGCAGCGATAAAATGTCACGAGAGATGATAAAAAATTAAAAGTGAGGATGAAAAGTGAATTTTAAAGAGAGAAACTTAGGTTTTAGGAAAAAAGGGAATATTAAAATGATGAAAAGTTCATAATTTCAAACAGATTTCAGAAGTTGAATCTTAGAGGGAGGAGATTACTCTGATGTACTCTGATGTACTGCATCGGCATGTTTTTCTTACATCAGTCTCTTTGTCTTTGTGGATTTTTAAATATTATTTATGTGTCAAGTATACATGGGGTCCTCGGTTTACAGCGTCCTCGACCTACAGCGTTTCGTGGTTAAGTCGCAGTCTCCCATTTCTGTTTTAGGAAATTCCTGTTCGGTCAGTCCAACAGAACTCCATACATCAGATTGTGCTACATTCACTTTCATTTGTGTTGTTTTTCGGGAACTTTTTACTCCTTATTATGCATAAGTCAGACTTATCTTATCATGATGCGTTAGCTTAGGTGAGTGACATAGTTACTTATGTACCGTATGTGAGTTCCGACTGACGGCGAAAATCGAGTTACGTTGCCCCATGGGAATGGAACTCAGACATAAGTCGCGGAGTTTCTGTGTATTTCAAAAAACAACAAATAAATTAGTCAGTTGATGCAGTTTCAGATTCCGTTGGTTTCCAATCTTTTTCGTTACTAGGGGGCGTCGTCTTGTGCCACTCTTCGACGCTCTAATACACGATGCCGTCAAACTGAATGTTTACTGTTGGTAAAGTTTCTTCTCTCTACGCAGGCCATAAAAAATCTGTTTAAAATGTAATTTATGAGCCACATAAACCCTATCCAAGTGCCGGAATGGGCCCCAGGGCCACACTTTGGACACGTCATCTACATCATATAAATGCAATTATTCTCCACTGCTACGGGCACCTGATGGAACTGTGTTATTATCTATCTGAATGTGAAAGTGATGGTCCAGCAGAGACGGCGGTCACATCATAATGACAGCTGAGGACGAGTCCGTCCCGCTTTTATGACTCACTTCTCCTTTGTCCCAATTAGGACAGTGGAAAAACGTCCCGCTTTTATGACTCACTTCTCCTCTGTCCCAATTAGGACAGTGGACAGGCGTCTGTCCATTCATTCATGCTCCGTATCATTGTCCCCTCAGTCCCAGCTGTCACAGTCATCATTAACAGTCAGACCAGGTTTTTTTTATAAATAATGCCTCAAAAGGAACGTGATGTTTCCGAGGGATCTGGAGAGTAAAGACAAACCTGGGATTAAACGTGGGCCGAGAAACTCAAAGAAGACCACGTGACTGAGCCTGAGTGCTGTTTTCAAAATCCTCCCTAAGTAAGAGTAAGTACAGTGTTTTAGTGGAATTGAACAGCGCGCTCGGCATAAACAATCGGTTCTGTGGCGGTGATAAAAGCACGAGTGGAATTTTCAGTCAGAGTGTGGAGCAGCTGGTTTTCATCTACTGTAAAAATGCCATTAAGTATTAAAGTACATGTGTTTATTCCAGTCCTGAGTGACAGTGGAGGGAAACTCAACACACGGTCAATAGGATAGTGTAAGTCAGTAGCTAGGCCAGCCACATCTTAGAGAAAAAATACGAAGTGCAGCCACATCCTTGGTTTATTGTATGGAGTTCACGGGGGTCACTAACTGTTTTTGTCAGAGGGTCAGGATCTTTCTGGATATTATTTGATGTTCTTGGAATTCAGTCACGGGCCGGATTAGATGGATCAGTGGACCAGATTTGACCCGTAGGCCCCCAGTTGATGATCACTGACGATTGTTTTTGTGTTCATTGTTAGGCTGTTTTTTTTCCCACTGACAGCACTATGTTGTCTACGTATGTGATAATATGTGACTTTTCCACATTTGGAGTTTTTAATTATTGGCACAAGCTTTGACACCGTGAGCAAGAATTCAGCCCCAAACCACTACGGAGTCAGTGTAGCACTTGTGTGACTTATTTTTTAGCGTTGTTTGCGATAAACCGTTCTACAGAAATGTTTCTTTTGGTTTTCATGTTCCACGTTTCTTTTCTTTAACGAAAAGTTAGTCTCAAATACCTTATAAAGTTGGCAGAGAAGAGGGAAGAGTGACCAAAAAGATTGAAAAGTTTGTTTTGCTGAAAGAAAGCAAAGAATCAAGAAGTATCCGAGACTTAATAACTACAATATAAATGGGTATTAAAATCAAACGTTTACTAAACGTGGCGAAAAATGACACAATATAAATGGGTATTAAAATCAAACATTTACTAAACGTGGCGAAAAATGACTAACAGTTTTAGTACCTAAAAGTTAGCAAACTGTAAGGTAAATAATATAGTGGTAGAAGTCGACTTAGTTTTTGTTTTGTTTTTTTAGAATCTACAGATCATCAATACGTCAGTCGTAGCTTCACTGTCCGCTGGTTTTCAGATCAACGATCCGCGGCAGTGACGACCATAAATGTTCATCAACACTTTTTACTGACATTTTACTGCTGAGAAGAAAAAAAAATGCAATAAAATGAATTTTCCTCATCCGTTCTCGCCTCATCTCGAGGCCAAATTGACTATTGATCGCCGTCTCTTTTGTCTATTAAGGCCGAGCCTTGCATTCCAAAACTGGCCGCTGCGGTGCCGGCTGCCCATATCTCAGCGCTGATTGATTCTGTGAAAGTTGTGTCCAGCTGGGCTAAAGTGGAGGCTGATGGGAGAGGGGGTTGGGGAGGGGTGAATTGTCTGTCGGCCCCAGAGGTTGACACACATGATCGGTGGAGCAGGAATCCTCCGGGCCTCCCGTCCGAGGATCAGTGTTCTCACCCGCTCTCTGCAGCGAGAAGAAAAGGAAACGGACACAAAGAGGAAGGCCATTCTATTCATCCGTTTGGAGAGGACTTGATGCAATCAATACCGACAGAGTGGAATGATGAAGCAGCGGCTGAGGCTCTGAGAAGACTTAGGGCTGTCATATTGTGTGAGGAGGCAGAAGAAAGGAACAACCCCTGCTGTGAC